GGGCGCGGCCCGCAGACACCCCGCTTCTGGAAAACAGGAAAGCCCGGCAGGCTGGCCCAGCCCTGCGGCCCACGCCCTCCCCACGGCCGCTCACCATTTTCCTTCCGGCCGTCGGCAGCCCGTCGCCAGCTCCTCGGGCCCCTTTAAGAATGGCACCGCACCCTTCCTGCCCGCGCCCGGCTTAACCGCCCCCGGCGAGAGACGGCGGCCGCGCAGGCGGGCACGTGACCGCGGACGGCAGCGAGCGAGGCCCAAAATTCCCCGGGACGCGCGAATCCGCCGCTGCCGGCGCCCTCTATCGGAGGATGGAACCGGTCCCAGGGGCGCAGGGTTGGGTGCCTTGAGGCTTTCTTCAAGCTGCCAGAGCGGATATCACAAAGCCCAGTTGGAGTCGGTGGTTTTAGTGGTAAACATGGATGCTGATCACGACTCTCTTCCATCATCTCCCGACCCCCGCCCAGAACTTCAGTCTGATCCCCGCCAACTTCCAGAACTTTAGTACTTATTTTTCTGATAGTGTTTATTTACTGCAATGCGGTTGAATAGCCGATATTTTAATGAGCCTTTTCATACTCAGGCCACTGCCTAAGGGCCTGTTGAAAAGTAAACTACATGTCCTGTCTTGTCAGGTTAGATGACTTCTACCCAACTGTTTAAATTCACACAACTCCTCACCAAACATAGCGAATCCTATTGTATGGGAATTAAAAATAAAAATTTGAAAAGCTACAAAACAATGCAAAAAAAAAAAGACTGTGGAAGTCAGGGACAGAAGCAAAAAAAAAAAAGTATTATAATCTAAGTCTTGGACCAAGGTGGAAACGGATTTGGTGACAAGTGCCCAGGGGTAATAGAATTCTCAACTACAGCAATATTGACATCTGTGGTGGGGTAATTCTTTGTTGTGGGTAGGTGTACAATCTATTATTTAACAGTATTGACAGTCTCTAACCACAAGAGGTCAGGTGTACTTTTCAAGTTTCAATAAGCAAAAATATCTCCAGATGTCAGATGGTGAGAGTGAAATCACTAGAACCAATGTTACTAATTAATGATCAGTATTATTCTGTTTCACATTTATAGGCAACAGAAACCTATTATCTATTATCTAATGTTGTAAGTTAATCATTCCAGAAGCCACATTTTAAAATATAGAATATTGGAGTTTTCATTTTACAGTTAACAGGCTGCAGGCCTCCAGTTGTTATAGAGGCCTGTAGCACACAAATACACAAAAGACAGCTAGGAAACATGCTAAAGAGGAAAGAAATAACAAGAACAATACCAACAAGCCAATTCAGCATCAATGGAGAGCTGAATTGGGACTCCAAGATGACTGCAGATGAGCCAGGAGACAGGACACAGGACATGATCATGGAGACACACTGGTATGCAGGCCAGCAGGTAGGTTGGTCCTAAATAGGTCGGTGCAGGAGGCAGATCCTCAGGAAATTCCCAGTCCCAGGCACTAGACTGACAGATTCAGTAACCTATCAGCCAAGTGCCTGCTCCTGCCTCCAGAGGTCCGGGCAAAACCACTACCTGGAAGGCAGGTGGGGGAGAGGGAGGGGGGTGTCCCCCAGCATGAAGACAAGATGTCAGACCCTACCATCCACCATGTGGCCAATATGGCGCTGGCCAGACCTGACCTCCTTACTTCAGTAAGACCACAGGAGACTTTTCCTAGAGAGACCTGGGAATTCAGTTGGTCAAGCTGTTAGGTTCTGCCAAAGTAATATAAGATTTTTCACAATTTTTCTTCTCTATAGCAGCATATACATATTGCATTCAGTGTTACCATGCATTGATCGCTTCAAAGTTTGGAATTCAAAGTTATAACACTTATTTAAATTCCTACCAATTGGCATTTCCAAAATTGAGATAACTTTTTCTCTCCTTAGAAATAATGTGGGATATAGAAAGGTCATGTGAAGAAAGAGTTGGAAGCATTAAGAAGAAATAAATAAAGGAACAATGAAGTTTTGACTTCTAAAATAGGATGTTGAATTCTAAGAAGCACCATCATTTTGAAGCTCTGTTAACATTTCAAAATCTGGACATTGATAATGTTGAAAAGGAAGAAGACTCCCTGAATTTAATTCTATATTACCTGGGTCATGATCTGACATTCAGCAATAGTGGTAGCCCAACTTGGTATTCTGAGATTCTAAGATAACTCTGCTAACTCCCAATACCTTGTCTGAGTCATATGGACTGAGATTCTAGCCAGCTCAGGACTTGTATCTCCAATTAACCAGCAGAAAGTGGGAAGTGGATCCTGTGGTTCGAGTGGTAGAAAACCACCCTTGAGCAGAAGAAGCTAAGGGGCAATGTCCTGTCCTTGAATTCAAGCCCCTATAGCTGCACCAAGAAAACAGAAGCACAAGTCCTAGTAATTTATTCTAAGGATATTCATTGCAATGTTCTTTATAGTAATAAAATAATCCCCAACAATTGAAAGCAGGCTGAATAAACTACGTTTCACAAATTAGAGATATAACAATTACAATTATGTTGTAGAAGCAAGTTCCTTCCTCAACACTACTCCAGAGAAAACGTGATTATTTGCCAGAAAATGCAAGAGACCCTAGGGAAAAACGTATTTTCCTAAGCATGAATTTTACTGGGGACTTGAGAGTGTGGAGACTTGTTATCCATCTTAATGCCAGTTCTCCCTTCTCCCTCTGTAAGAAAATCCTGATTTGTCATTGAGTTTGTTCCTGCTCAGAGTCAGGCTCCATTTCTCTGTAAGTAGGTGTGGCTTTAGGACTAAAGGAAAAAATTTATGAGACACTTCTGGGGAGGCTGCTTTGAGTGAAAGACTCCATAATTTCCTGTACTTCAAAGCTTCTGCTTCTGTTTTAATTTTTTCGCTGGTGCTTGGCTTGCTTGCTTGTGGCTGGTGCTCTACAATTTGAGCCACGCCCCAACTCTTGTATTACTTATTTAAAAAATTATTATGCAAAAATGAATATACTGGGGTTGGGGAGGTGGCTCAGTGGTAGAGCGATTGCCTTGCATGCATGAGGCCCTGGGTTCGATTCCTCAGCACCACATAAGCAGAAAAAAAGCCGGAAGCGGTGCTGTGGCTCAAGTGGTAGAGTGCTAGAATGAGCTGAAGAGATGAGGGACAAGCATCCAGGCCCAAAGTTCAGCCCCACAACCGGACCCCTTCCCCCAAAATAAAAGAAAGAAAAGAAAGAAAAAGCCAGAAGTGGCACTTTGGCTCAGGTGGTAGAGTGCTAGCCTTGAACAACAACAACAAAAAAGCAGCTCAGGGACAGCACCTAGGCCCTGAGTTCAAGCCCCAGCACCAAGGAGAGAGAGGGAGGGGAGAGGGGGGGAGAGAGAGATGAATATACTTTAAAGGTAAAGTTTTAGCTAATTCTCAATTGTGGAGTACTTTGTAGAACCCTAGACGGTAGACCTCCTTCTCTTTCCTAGAGTCTAATAATACGAGGTTGCAGGAATTAGAACTGCTGCACGTGGATCTCGTATAAACTCTCTTTGGGGAACCATTTGCCTAAATGTGCCTAAATTGTACCAGAGGTACCTGCCCCCTCCTCTGCCCCCGCCCCCAATTTCTATTTAAGAATTTGCCTGCAAAACAACGGTGACCTTTGGACCAGACTGGCGGAGAGGAGCCTGGTAAACCACCAATCCGGAGTGCCCGGGGGCGGTTCGAGGTCTTACCCTCCCCCTGCGCAGCCAATAGCTCGGGACAGGGGTGTGGCGAATCCTGCGGGCGACGTCATGATTGGCAAGCCGGCTCCCCAAGCCCGTGAGCCTGTCCCGGCTTCCAGTTCACCGGTGCCTCGGCGTGTGAAGAGCTGCGAAGTTTGTCTGCTCCCGGGCGCCGTAGCGGCTTTTACCGAGGCCGGGCAGGCCGGGCGGGCCGAGCTCGGTTGGGCTGGGCTGAGCCCAGGGGCTTGGAGCCCGGCTCAGCCCGTGAGACCCCCCCACCCCCCACCCCATGGCTGCGGTGTTTCTTGTCACACTTTATGAATACTCGCCGCTTTTCTATATCGCGGTGGTCTTCACTTGCTTCATCGTGACCACCGGCCTGGTACTAGGATGGTAAGTGTCCCAGGGCCGAACGGACAGACAGACAGACAGCTGGGGACCGGGGTCGCGGTCGTGGAGACCCGGTGGGCGCCGCGCCTGCGTCACCGCCCCGCCCCGAGCGCGGGTGGGCCGGGTCGTGGGGGCTCGTGGGGGCCGGTTGGGTTCGTGCCCCGCCGTGAGTGTGGGTGCGGAGCATCCACGCAGCGCTGGGATACAGAACTTGTCCAGGAGGTTTGTGTCCCTGAGTGGGGCCTGCTGTGCGCCCAGGGCGAGTCGGTCACCCAGCCTGGGGTGCACAGCACACGGTCGATCGCCGTGTGGTCCGCTCTGCGGAACTTAGAACCGGATTCTGTTACCGTTTGCGAAGCTTTCCATATCGATCCTGCGCCGTTTGCAGTCCAGAGGCGATCGAGAGATCTTCGAAGTACGCTGCACCGTGGAATGGAGACAGTTCACCGGTGGGAGACTGGAATGGACTGTTAACTCCTGAGGCAGTTCTTCCAAGCCCCGAGATTCTCGTTTTCTTTCATGAAGTGCCATTGGATCATGTTTAAGGAGCCCTGCGAACAGGGGCTAGCTGGAACTTACTTTCGTAGACAACAGCTTTTCTGGGTTTACAGTTCTTCAGAGACTTTTTGACATGAGGGTGTTTTGGACTGGGTGGAACAGTGGTCCTGAGCGATTACGGCCGTGGCCTGGAGAAATGGGAAACGACTTCACTGAAGAGAGAGACATGAGCTGAGCTTTGGAGAATGAATATTTTGGAAGATAGTTGAATGTTTACTGTATGGAAGAGAAGCATTTCTGAGACCACAGCATAATGAGAAGAAGAACAACAAAAAAAGACATGTTTGTGACTGAAGCAGACTTTGTAAGGAGTTCATAAATACTCCTTGATCACTTATATGCTTGTACTTTGAAGAAAGGACACAGACCTCTCAGTTTCTGAAAATCTGGGTCATTTTTAGGCACTAGCAAAAGCATTGTTTCTACACTGGTCTTCACCCTACCAGTGGTAGAGCAAAATATTCCTTATATGTGGATGGGTAAAGATGAAGCCCAAGCTTAATTTGTTGTTCTTGTTCCTTCTCCTCCTCCTCCTCCTTCTCCTCCTTCCTTTTTT